ACTTTAATAAATTTTATAATGTAATTCATGTTTTATAATAAAATAAATTTTGGCAAATATAACTTAATATAATTGTAATATTAATATATTGATAATATTTATAATAACAAATATTAATTACAATATCTATAATTAATTTTGTCATATAAAAATAATTACGGCAGCCTAAAATAATTATGGCAGCCTAAAATAATTTTGGCAGCCTAAAATAATTTCGGCAGCCTAAAATATTTCGGCAGCCTAAAATAATTTCGGCAGTCTAAAATAATTTCGGCAGCCTAAAATAATTACGGCAGCCGAAAATAATTACGGCAGCCGAAATTATTTCCGGCAATTATATTTTCGGCAAATGCAAAATTAATTAAGGCGCCATCTATATTGGCACCTGCTCAGGAATTAGCAAACAGATGATAAAAAAATAACCTCATGAAATTTAATCTTATAAGGAAAGATATGAAAATAGAATGATTAACTTTGTTTATTGATGTTTAACTCTTTATTGTTTTTTTCTCACGCCAAAATTATAATTTTATATCTGTAATAATTAGGTCAATTACATGATCCGTTTGAAGAGCATATCTCAAAGATACAAAAAATTAGCACAAAAATCGAATCACATATTTTAAAGTATATGATTCACGAATACAAATCGAGAATATTAATTTCTTGAATTTTAGGTGTTAGTTATTTTCACGGCTGTCGATATCAAAACTATGCCAATATTTTAAGGAAAGGTTGAGTCAACACGTTAATGATAAAAAATCGGGTGAAATGCCCACTACGAAAGGCCAACGTGACTCCGCCGAAACAGGCTATATTAACGATAAATAATTACGTTTTTCCAAATATGCCATAAAAGTAGCCACTTACGTACATAATTATTTGGTGAATATAAAATACCATGTGATGTAAATATTCTTCGGATAAAGTTGGACATAAAAAAAATTTTGGAAAAGAAAAAAATTACATTTAAAAATAATTTTTGTATGTTTATTTTTTTTTTTGTTGCTTATTTTTTCTTTTATTTATTCTCTTTATTTAAACGTATGGTTATGTTATTTTTAGATATTATAACGAAGATATGTCTATCGCGGGTTCTTTTCTTTTAAATAGAGAAGTCGATGGAGTATTGGTGGAATCTTCTAATGTTCAAGAATTTGAAGGACTTGATTTTAAAATAAAGACGGAAACACTTCCAACTGAAGACAACAACACGAGATTATTGTTTCTGGATAAAAATGATAAGGAAATTCCTGTACCAGAAGACATAGAATGCAAAGATGTTACATCTAAAAAAGAGGTTATTAAAAAGCCGCTTCCTCATACTCAATATTTTTTAATTACTCATCCTCTTAAATATGAGATTTATCATAATAATAAATGTATATATAAAATAACTGGAGAGAAAAAATTTTCAATTTTTAATTATCAAAAACCAGAAGAGGTAAAAAGAAAAGAAGCACAAAAAAGGGAAGAGAAAAAAGCAAAAGAAACGACTAAATTAATGAAAGATTTGAAAATAGATAATAAATAATTTTTTTATTTATTTCTACTTTTATTTTTTTTTTCTATCAATTATATTTATATATATATTTTTTTTTAAATATTTTATTATTGTTATAAATAAAGATTATCTATTAACCTTTCTTTTGTTAATAAAGTAATGGTACGATTATGTAAAGTAAATTCTGATACAACATTTATTTATTATATGAAGTTAGTCAAATATATTGATATTATTTAAAATTGAAATTTCACTTGCAATGAAATTATAAGAGCAATTATGCGCTCGAGCTACTCATCAACCCAACTTTGAAGAATTAAAGATTTATAAAGAAAAAATGAATTTAAAAATCATAGAAATTTACAATTCAAATTAACAAAAAGCTGATTAAGGAAAAACTTCAAACACAATTTATACTAAACTTAATTTTTCGAGCCCTTCCGAAACTTGAAAATGAAGCAAACTTTGAAAAAGAAGAAATTTCTTTAAAGTAATTATTAATTGTCGACTATATTTTTATGCATATATTTATTTTTTATAAATAATTTTATACATTTAGTATTTTATATGATTTTATACATTTTTAAACAATAATTTTAAATATGAAATTTATGATTCTTTAAAAGATTCAATTATTTTTTATATTCTGATGATGATTTCTATAGATCAATTTATAATTTGAATAATTTAAACGGACGATAAGTAAATTGAATATAAAAATCGAATATACTGTATTACATATTCGTATTATTTTTTATTATTATATTATTAATTCTTCATTTAAGAAATATTTATTTATTTATTTATTTATTATTTTTATTTAAAATCTAATAACGTTATTCTTAATATTCTCCGCCATTTTAGTTACCAATTTTGTTCTCTCATTAACAATTTCACTAATGTAAGGTATATCAAACTTTGTTGAACAATTATTTTTTGGTAATCCAATAAAAAATTCCGCTCTCACACATATAATTCTATCTATTATCCGATTTATTCCAGTATTTATTATTTCATCTTTTATTTCTTTCACATTTATTGATTGATTTTTAAATGCAGCCTCCAAATTATTAATGACTTCTTTGGATTCCCAATTGATTAGTGAAAAAGTAGATTTTAATTTTTCCATAGCTGAATAATGAAATTTTGTGACATACTTCCAAGTAGGTGAATATGATTTTAAGGATAACGAAGAAATATGCACATTATTATTATTATTATTATTATTATTATTATTATTATTATTATTATTATTATTATTATTATTATTATTATTATT